CGAGTTATGGAGGTGGTGGTTCGAGCCATGGAGGAGCCGGTTCTAGCCATGGAGGGGGCTATTCGAGGATGGACGAGGATGAGGAGTAGGCTACACTCCCAAGTCAATGAGGGCATTACTTGATTTGGCTTGTGGGGTGATCTTTCGCTTGGTAATTCTCTTCCTTTTCTCTTTTTATTTGTTTCTAGTATAGTTTTTTGTGCTTTTTAGTGTAGTTTCTATTTGGTTTCCTTTATGAGAAAAATACAAAAAAAAATTGAAAAATAAAAAAATCCAAAAATACGTTCCAATGAATTGTAAATCATGCTTCCCTGTGCCCCTTACTTGAGAAAATTTGTTTTGATTCTTGGTTATTGATAATGAGCATTGTGGATTTGTTGGTCATGATTTGATGTTTAATTGTTTGGATTCCTAAACATGCGTCAATTTTGCCAAATGTTTGTGAATATAGTGCTTGACTAGTTGATTTGGTTAGGAATGTGTGATAGTTCCATAGTTCATGGTATGTCAATGAATTTGAGTATTGGTTTGCAACTATGAGTAGTGTTTCATGACTTATTATTATGCACATGAGGAGGACAAAGGTGTTCATTCTTTTAGGTAGCCTTCAGAGTATTTAGATACATTTGTTCCCTTCTTGCTACCCATGTTGTTGCTTGTGCCCTTTTATTGTTTATTTAGCCACATTACAAGCCTATATGAGCCCCATTGGTTACTAGTCCCAAGCTTGTCTTGGGGGAGCTATTAGTTGGTGAGGTGAGGGAGTTGTGGTGTGCACATTATTTGCACAATGTGGGAATAAAAGAAGAGTGATTGTTATTTGATTTTTGATTGGAAAATACTGATATGTTGTGTTACAAAGTTGAAATTTCCAATGTGAGTTAAAAAGAAAAAAAAAAGAGCAAAAGGAAAAATTTATAATGCTCAAATGTTCTATTTGAAGGTTGTTCAAGAAGAAAAAAAAAAGAGAATGAGTTCAAAGTTTGTATTTCACTCAAATTCTACATTATCACATTTTTATGAGTGAATTTTGTAAGTAATGGATTTGTTTATGTTGATTGGAGTTGTATTTGGTGGTTTTTGTTGGAATTAGTTATGTTATTGGAGATGTATGATCATCATTTATTTTTGATCATGGGTTTGTTAGGATTTGGCTCCCTTAATGCATAGCTTTTCTCTCACATACTCCCAAATTTATCCTACCCTTTATCCTAGCCTTACATTACAAGCTTTAAAGACCTTCCGACCTTGTGCATAGAGTTGTGTAAATGTGAAAGTGTTGTTTATCAATGCAAGTTATGACTTGACATATTTCGAGTCGACTAGTAGGTTGAGCGTTCATTGTTTTAAACACACGAGAGTGTGAGATGGGTGGGCATTGTTCACAAGTAAAGGGGTTGGTTGGAGAGCGATCGAGTACATCTTTTACTCGCCACATAAATGAGAGTTGAGTGTGTGAGCACTAGTCTTGAATTCTATATGCTCTTGTGGTTTGCTCTATTTGACAATTGTTGGGGAGGAAGGGTGATTGGATGAATAAGATTGATTGATGTTGGAGCATGTTCATTAGATTTGCCTTGAATTGTTTGTGCTTGATTTGATTATTGGGGTGAGGCATGTTTTATATGTTCATTGACGAGCTCTTTGCTTAGGGACAAGCAAAGGTTTGGCTTGGGGGAGTTTGATATGTCCATTTTATATAGTAATTTACCCCCGTCCCTTGGTCTTAATTAGTAGTGTTTTTGGCTCTTTCGAGCCACTTTTATTACTAATTGGTGTTTTCGTAGTCTTTGTTGAGTTTTGTAGGAAATTGCACCTTTGGAGCATTTTCTCGGGTTTTTCATGGAGCGACTACGGAAATTAGAAGAGCACGACCATCTTTGAAGCCCAAGGCCGGTTAGAGTCATCGAGCCGATGATTAAGGGCTCGGTAATCGGGATACCGAGGTATTTGGACCGAGTATTCAAGACCCGAAGAGGAAATCCGGATTGGGCCGAGGAATCAAACTCAATCGAAGTCCAAGCCTTAATGAGAAACAAGGGCCCGATCGGGCAAGCTAGCACGATCGGGCGCGACGTTCAATGTTGGTGCGTGGCCTAAGGCGCGCCCGATAGTGCGAGCATCTAGCTCGATCGGGCGTCGCTTCTGAGAAGAGGCGCAAGGAAAAAGGAACGTGCGGCCTCTAGCCCGATCGGGCGCGTGTTTTTCTCAGACCTGATTAGATTAGTTTTCATTTTTGTTTTGAGGAATGTTTAAGTACGAATTATGTACGTAATTTTGGTTTACCTTCTCTTTTAGATTTTCTCTCTCTACTTAGGATATTTCTCTTTCTTAAATTCTCTCTCAACTCTTGTTCTTAATTACTTCCATTAATTAAAATTTCCTTTGGTAACAATTTCTTCTCCTTTAATTTCAGCTATTTCATTTACTTCTTTGATTATGTTTTGTTTTATTTATTTGATTAGTTTTGTTATGATTATGTCTGAGTAGTTTCATTCTAGGGTTTATGGGGATCCATAATTAATATGAAGGGATAATTTGTTATTATTGATTATTGGTATTGCATGATAATTTTTTATTGAATTGTTTTAATTCTTTGCAATTAGATTATGAATCGAGCAGATGTAATTTGATTGTGAATGTTTAGCAATATTGAATTGATGAATCGAGCAGATGTTAATTTAATATTAAAGGCTATTTTTAATAGGAACTTAGATCTAGTAAATTGCGAGAGCCTGTTAGATCTATGTTGATTAATAAATTGCGAGAGCCTGTTAATCATGTTATTTGTGCAATGTTAATTATTATTTATTATGTTTTATCTCGGAATATTAATTATTGGTGAACCTGTGACCCTAGGCTTGCTTATTGTTGTTTATTTTCTCCCTAAACTTATTCTTCGTAGTATAGAATTTATTCCCAAAAAAATATTGGTTACTTAGATAATTTAGATTATAATAATTAATTAGGAGTAAAAAGACTTGTTTCCTTGTGGAGTTCGACCCTACTTCCCTATCTACTTTAGTTAGAGGACTTAGGTATTTACTTTTGATTAGGGCATACGACTTTACCCTGTCACCCGACCCAAACTTTACCCGATATACGAAATTAACCCAATACCCGAAATGACCCGACCCGAATTTGACCCGATACCCGAAATGACCCGACCCGAATTTAACCCGATACCCGAAATGACCCAACTCTAATCGACCTGATAACCGAATTGACCAGGCCTGAATTTAATCCCAATTAATTGACTCGAACATACCCAAAACCTAAACTAACCCGAACTAAAACTACCTTATACGCAAAATGACCTAAATCTATTTAAGCCTGTACTATGTTTGTGACCCGAACTAAAACTACCTTATACGCAAAATGAGCTTGTCACATTGAATAGTTTGTACGATTCAACTATTTTATTTGTATACTCATTGATAATTACAAAATATATTAAATGTCCAATGAAAATGGAGTACATAAATAAAAACAAAGGGAGTAGTATAGATAACAATAACAATAATAATAATAATAATAATAATAATAATAATAATAATAATAATAATAATAATAATAATAATAATAATAAGGGAAATTCTCAATGGTACTCTTGTACTTATTTTTTTTCTCAACGGTAAACACTAACTTTTTTTTTTTATCTATGGTAATCAATAATTAGATAAACTAATTCAATGGTAAATATATGACATTGGTCCTTTAATATTAGCCTAACTGTAGTTAACTTAAGTCAAAAAGACTAATTTAACCATAAAAATCACTTTTCCCTCCAAATCAGATTGCCCTTTTCCCTCCTAAACCAAAATCCCCAATTCTTTTCTTTATAAACCCTAGAAACGGAAATCCCCAAATCAAATTTCCCCTGTATTTCAATTCTTTGCAATTAAGCTAAGTTTCTCAATGAAATTCTTTCTTTCTTCTTCTGTTAGGGGTATCACCATTGATGAGAAGCTTGATTGGGTGAAGCATGTCCATTGCTACTGCAAACCATCTCAGGAGGTTGTTGTTATGGTTTTGAAACGACAAAAAACCCACGAAGGCTGTTTTACAAGTGCAGGTCTTGCGATTTTTTTGCGTGGTTGAAGGAGGAAGATGTAATTAGGTCGGGGGAAGAATTAGAGGTTGAACAGAGTCCTATTGTTTCTTTGAATGAAAAGGTGGATGGATTGGTGAAGTATGTTAAGGGAATTGTTAAAATTGGTCTGATTATGTACTTTATTATGCTAGTTATTGTTGCAAATCGAAATTAGGAAGATGTAATTAGGGGTAATTGTTGTAGCCCTAGTTTCAGTCAATTAGGTGTTTATGTATTCCCTAATTATGTACTACTTTCATATTGAATTAAAGTTAAAGAATTTCCCCTATTTTGCGTTCTATTTGTTTTGCATACACAACATTGAAATTACAGATATTGCATGCCATATAACACATATGTGAATGACCTAATTTGATTACATTCAAAGTATCAGAAAGATACCAAAATCAGCATATTAACTAATGTTATCCAAAAACATCAAATTGTCATACAACAATGTCATCCTTAACTAATGTTGTCCAAAAAACATGTCAGCATACATAAGCTGATATCATTAACTAAATATTTTCAAAATAAAACCAAAAACGTGGTTTTGAATGTTGGAACTAAGGAACAGGCTGGGATGCAGACACACCAGTCTTAGCCTTCTTTGCTCTTGGAGATGTTCTTAATGGTTGAGAAGAAGATGCAGGTGTTGGATCTGGTTGGCTTATAGAAACACCTTTTCTCTTGGGGGCTTCCTTTATCCTGTTGTTGTCAAACCAACCTTCTCTTTTCCTGTCATTCCACCTTGACATATTTGTGCATTGTGGCCAAAGGTTTGGCATTTGTTGCACCTTACAGTTTTAGATCTTTTGCCTTTGGCTTGCTCACCCTCTTCTCTCCTTCTGTATCTTGATGGTCTGCCTATTCCTCTCTTCATCTTGGGTGGGAGAATCTCAGGGTACTAACTTTGTGGCCATTGCTCCACATGAGGGATTGCCTTGATGTTGTTTCCATAAGTCAGCTTGTAGTTGGAGATGGAATACCAGTCACTGACATACTTATGAGGGTCATCATTTGAGTGTAATATGGCCCTCATGGCATGCTTACATGGCAAGCCAGTCAACTGCCATGCATTACAAACACATGTCCCTGCCCTCAAATTTACAGGCAGCACTGATCTCCCATCCAACACCTCATATTCACCTTCTCCACTTACCAAACACTTGCATGATCTTGATTTTTGGCTAATGACTTGGAGTCTTCTGACTATGTTTGGACAGATTTCACCTCTCCATTTTTCACATGCCTCTCTTCTAGTAGCCATCCTCACCATGGTGAGTCTCCTCACACCTGTTGTAGCATAATATGCAAGTGCATGATGAGTTTACAGGTGAAAGCATACAAGTAAAAGCACTAAACCAAAGCAATTAAGCATATACTACCTTCAAGCAATGTTATAACAGGTTTACACCTATCAAGGCCTAATGTTGAGTTGAAACTTTCAACAAAATTTAATTTGTTGACATCTGACTTTATGGCTGGATTAAATGCATGTTTAGACCAGACTGACTGTGGTCCAAGTTTAGAAAACCACTCCAAAGCCAATGGATTAGCCTTTTTCAAACGTACCATAGCCTTTCTAAAGGTGAAAGGGTTAAATGCTCCACAAGCTAACCAGAATAGTGAGAACATTAACAAACTAGGGAACTGTGGCTTGAAGTTTTTCAGCAAATGTTTACAGCAGTACCTCCTACCCACTTTAGGCCATAAGTCTTGAATTGCATCCTCAATTCCCTAACAATAATATATAGTAGACACAAGTTAGTTTACATTATTTTGTATGAAATATATGCATAAAATGAACACTAATGGACAAAGATCATTACCTTGTGCCTGTCAGAGATTATACACCACTCATCTCCTCTCCCACTATCTTGTAAAGCGTTCTTCAAATGCCATAAAAAGAACTTCCAAGTTTCAGCATCCTCTCCTCCCACAATTGCCCAAGCAATTGGAAAGATCTCATTATTACCATCCAGAGCCACAGCTGAAAGGAGCACTCCACCATAATGCCCTTTGAGATGAGCTCTATCCACCTCTATGAGACTTCTACCAGCCATCTTTTAGCCCATCTAAAGAGGCTTTGAATGAAATGAATATACTACTAAAAGCCAAAGGCTTTTCTGGATGGTTTGCATCATTCCAGGCACAGAATGCCAAAGACCCTAGGTTCAACTCTTTGATCACATCACAATACATGGGTAGGTCTTTGTATGACACATCATGCCTGCCATGGTTCTCCTCAAGTGCTTGTGTTCTCACTTTGTATAAACTGGACTGATCCATATTGACCCCATATCTCTGGAACAGTAGGTCATTCAATGACTTTGCAGGGATGTCATTATTTTCCCTAATGTCATCTAATAAGACTCTCTTTGCCCATTTGCAATTCACCATGGAATTTCTTATCTCAACACCTTGGCAAGTGTGCTCTGAATTCTCTATGGACTTAATAGCCCATGTTGTTCCATCTGGCAGTAGGGATGCATGTAATCTCCAACTACAGCTCATATCTGAGCATGAGAATGAGTACCTAAAGTTGCTTGCATAGTCCACAATCACAGCAAAACCACATTGTATGCAATAGTCCCTAACAACATCTCTCAAATGCTGCTTATCTGTGAATAACTGCCATGACTTTAAAACAATTTTACCAAAGCCCTCATCCTTGTATACTTCCCCATTGTTGTCAAATTTGCAAAATATTTGTCCTTCTCATTTTCACTTTCAAACACAGGCTCCTCAAATGGATCAAAGCCATCCTCAATCAGAGGACCATAATCATCTCCCTCATTCTCATCTTCTGTATCCACACTCTCATCAGTGTCTTCATCTTCAGCCTCAGGTGGGTTGTACCCTTCATCATCTTCTTCATCATCTTGCACACTCAAGGTCTGGTCATTATCATCCCTAATGGTATGTTTGGATAACAAATTAGAATGGAAATGGAAGGGAGGGAAATAGGAGGAAGGGGAAGGAAGGGAAAGTGGAGGAAATAATGAGCTCCATTTTCCCTCCATATCTCTCCAATTTTGAAGGGATGATATTTATTAAAGGAGGAGGGAAAATGGATCCCTCCCTCCCCTCCCCTTCCCTCCCCCAACATATTATCCAAATAAGGAAGTTTGTCTCCCTCCCTTTCCCTTCCCTTCCTTTCCTTCAATTTTTTGTTATCCATACATAGCCTAAGGCTAATGGCCAAACTCCCTCTACTGCTAACAACCCCAGAAGATACATTATGCTCACTTCCACTTGCACTGCTACAAGTAACAACTCCATGTCTCTTAGAAGTAGTCCTAGGAATTCTCCTCTTAAAAAATACTAACACTCTAGAAGATTCAGCAGACTCTCTTTCATGTGAAGTTTTAATAGTCCTAGCAAACACTCCTATGTTTTTAATAGGTTGCACCAGTGATTGGGTTGATGGGTGAGGTGGCTGTGTTTGTTGTGTAAACAACTCAGATGGTATAGGTGTGTCATATTCTTCAATAGGTTGCTCAATAGGTTGGTTTGGATCCCATGGAGTGGGAGAAATGTTAAACCAATAGTCAATTGCACGAACCCCACCTCTACCTCTTCCCCTCCCTCTCCCTCTCCCTCTCCCTCTACCTATCTTAATGTTAGCCCCCCTGCCTCTGCCTCTCTCAGCGCCCCTGCCTCTCCCTCTAACAGTACCCCTCCCTTTCCCTCTACCAATTCCCCTACCTCTTCCTTTGCCTCTTCCAGTTGCAGTCCCTAATTGAGTATCAGGTTCCCTATCACTCTTATTCTCTCTATGAGGTAAATCTAGAATGTCATTGATTTTATCATCTATGCATTGATTAATGGCATGGTCAGTTTGCTCTAAATCATAGTCATCCATTGGAAGTTTACCTACAGAAATCATATGCCTTTCAAAGTCTTCTTTAGACACAACCTCAACCTCCACTAACTCATGTACACTAGGCTTTCCTTTCCTAGGTGTGAGTTTACATTTACTGATAGCCACATCAGGTTCAACAGCAGTTGGTGACTTCCCTAACATAAGTGACCTAGCAGCTTGGACTACCTTAGTATCCTTACCAACTATTCCTACCCATATGTATATCTCCTTCTTCTCAGGCAAATTACTAAACATTTTCATTAAGTCAGCATCACTTAAAAGACTAACATGCTTCATTTTAAACACATATGCAAATGTAAGGTGTTTTGGAGTTTCTATATTGGCCTTAGTTGCTTTCTCCCAACACTCTATAATAAGATCAATCAAATTTGCCTTATCAATGTCCTTAACAACAACAAACACATCTTTACCCTTATATTAAAATTGTATCACAACATTATCACCCATTTGTAGACACCTATTTGTGTCTCCCCAAAACCAAACCCAGTGATGAGTACTTTTCGCGTCGAATCATAATCGAATGAAGTGAAAGTGTGGAAAGTCTAGTGTTGCGGAAAGTTTGATTTTCTTTTCTCTTCTCTCTGTTTTTGAAAACTTATTTTAAGAAAACAGCCAATCCAGTTTGGTTGGTCCGTTATATAGGTCCAATAGTAGTTTAGTTGGATGGGGCTTGCAAAGACCTTTCCAACGATATATTATAAGCCCAATTCCGATGAATATGAGGAAGTTATGGCCAATTTACTAAAATGGGCCCAGTTTGAGCTTTATGTACGGTCCAATGATCTAGTGGAGGGCCTAATATGATTTATCATTCCTAATGCAATTAGGAATGGTTTTAGTCTTCTAGATTCTTCTAGAAGATTCTTTTCATTCCTAATTCAATAAGCATTGATAAATTGACTTTTGTTGACTTTTCAGAGTTTTAATCAAAATCAAATAGCATTTTCGAGGAAATTATATGATTTTATCCTCCGGTACGGCAAACTTATCGGATTTTCGAAAACGCGTTAAAATTAGGCTTGGCGCCTGGAACCAGGCCTGGGGCCTGGCGCTAGCCATTGGCGCCTAGCGCTAGTGTTGGTGCCTGGCGCCAGCTAGCCAGGGTTGGCGCCAACTCTGTTTTTTGTGCGTCAGACTCTGTTTTGTTTAATTTATCTTTTTGGCTGATTTTCTCTATAATATCGTATTAAAAAATCCGTTTTCATTCATCAATTCTCCTCATTCATTCATCACCAATTCATTCATCACCAATTCTCACGAATTCTCACCTACAATCAATTTTCATTCGCAATCATTAATTCTCTAATTCTCTCTTAATCATTCACCAATTCTCATAAGGTTTTCTTGATTATTTCATCTATCTCTCTCTAAAATAGCTTTTCAAATACAAAATTCCGCATTCATTAGATCTAGAAACACCTAGCCATATTCGAAGTTGCCTTCGCCCTAGACATGAAAGGTTTAATTTCTGAGGGTTTGGTCCCAAATATCTCATTCAATTATTTAATTTAATTGTTTTGATTATTATTTTCCTTGAAGTTACTAACGTGTGTATTTTATTATTAGAAAGAGGTACGAGGCATCAAAGTAAGTGTTTTAATGGTTTTTAATTGATATTATGATGTAGAAATCATGTTTATATTGTTATTATGATATTCCTAGTATCATGTCTAGGGTAATTTTAATATTAAATATGATTGTTATGATGCCTTTTATGTTCTTCCTAATATTTATGATTGTTAGTATCATGTTAGGGTTAAAGATTTGATTTTTATTGTTTAGTGACATGCTCAGGTTTGTTATTAATCTTGTTAGTATCATGCCTAGGATCTTGCTATTTTTATTATGCTTTAATATTAACATGATTATTATTATGGTTAATATGATTGTTATTATGATGATTATTTCATTGTTATAATTTTATGATCATGATTATATTTATTTTATTATTATGTTGCTTGATGCTATTTATTTTTTATTGCTTGATCACCTTTTATGCATGTTTAAAGGGAATTTGTACTTGTAATCACGCTTAATAAGATATTTAATAATCTTGTTTAGGGTTAATTGTGATTATAATTTCAAGTGATCACCAATAATAGTTTTATTTGTGCATTATATTCAACCAACATAGATAAACAGGTTTAGGGTTAATCCACTCGCGGTGTCCCATCCACTCGCGCCAACCCTTCACGGTTAGACTTTCGCGCGGTGCATCCGGACAATTAACCATGGACCCTCTTTGACTAAACCATATCCCGAACTTTAGAGAACTAGAGCCATGGTTAGGTTGCAAACGCATTGCATCATATTGTGCCTACTTGACTAAGTGTGCATTATTTGTTGTGCATATATATTCTATCTTAACCGTTTGTTGACTTGTATTGAGACTAAAAAATTAATGACTTAAAGAACTTTGCCTATTTAATTAAATAATTAATTAATTTGAGTCAATAAAGTCTAATATTTTAATCGGAATTGCCCTAGTACGACTTTAGGCATACCCCAATTAACTGATAACACCGAAAACAGTCCCAGATCGAAGCTCCAATATTGGCGCCAAGGTCTGAGTTGTAGCGCCACATTATGGAGAGTAGCGCCAAGCTCTACGATTTGACGCCAGTCCTGTCGCTTGGCCGACAGTTCGGATTATTGGTCAGTCATCACCTAGAGTCAAATTAACCAGTTTGCTAATTAATTCGGCTAAAATTTTGCTGTCAATAGTTTTTATTTGAGTCAATGATCGAGTTTAGGCACTAAGTCCCATGGTCTTACACACGATTCTTAACATATCACTTACACTCACTAGTCTTAGCACACACTTTGAGTATATGTCACCATGACCATGTCTTAGGTTCATGCATGAGTCGATTTTTTCCGTCATTTGAGTTGGGGGGTACATTCTATTCCTAATTCTTCACATCCCTCCATCTCCATCATTTTTCTTCACATTCTTTCATCTTTCTTCACCTCCTCCATCCATTGCATGTTGAATAAAGTTTGAGTTAAATAATTTACAATGAATATCCCCAAATTCCTTTTCCACAGTACTTGGTCGAGGAGAGAAGGGCGATTAATCAAAGACAACCTCTTTATTCAAGTCTCACTTTTCGATAAACCGATTCGTCAAAAGAGGAAGGCTACAAAGATAATGGAAACTCAAGAAGAAGTTAATGA